ATATATATATATATATATATATATATATATATATATATATATATATAATTAACATTAGGTTGCTGCTGACTGGTTGCCTTCCTGTGGTTAATGGCTCAAAATTAAGGGTGGCACTGTGCTACCTGGTTTGCACACTGACAAACATGCTGTGAGAGGATTCCATAATTAGAGAGAAAAGAGCCGATGCTTTAGCCATTGATAAAATCTTCTGTAGCATGTATCATAACCATAAAAGACATGACAGAAATGTTTCTGTAAATTTATACAGTTCAGGGACTAAACATAATGGTGAGTGTTATACATGTATAGGTTGGAACAAAAGTGACTATAAAATTGTTTCATTTACAACATAGTTTAATTTTTAACTATTACTTTGAAATGAACAAATTGGTTTCAGTTGTTTTTGTAATATTTTACTTGGTATGAACTGCATAATGACCTTTTCCCCACCCTGTATATGTAAATATGTAGGTACAGAAAAATGTTTATGTGTGTATGTTTATATATACACACATACATACCTATATGTCTACTTATTTTCTTAGTTAACATAAGATCTTTATAGATGTTCCATTTTTATGCTTATTTTGAGGCATTATTCTCTAGAAATTGATATGTCTGTTTGTAGTAGTAGTATCAGCAGATTAAAAATTGTAAAATTTCTCTAGTGTCTTAATAATTACTTAACAATAAGAAAAGGATTGTAATAAACATAAGCAGTTATTCAAATTATGTAATTGTTTGTGTGCACTAATCTTGTTGTGAAATTAAATACTCGGAGTATTTCGTATATCTCATACTATAAATGTGACATTAGCAGGAAAAGTTTCACAACATAAATCTTGTAACTCTTTCTTATATAAAGAAAGAAAGGTAAGTACAGTATAAACCAAATAAAGAACTGTGTAATGTTGACCTTTGTGTCATTAAGGGCCCACTATTTATATATGCACAATATTTTAGAGGAATGGAAGTGATAAATGTAAGAAATCAGGAAAAGAGGAAACACAACCATCTTTTGAGTCAGGACTGAGAATTATTATAATGTGTATATATATATGTGTGTTTGTTTGTTCATGGGTTCTATTTGGAGTTTTATTAACTGTAACAGATTATTTTGTTATCATTTGTTGTTTTTGTAGCTTAAAAAAAACAAGATTTTTTCTTGTTCTATCATTTTGGATAATCTATAATTACACACACACAAATATATCAGGTACCTGATGATGACAAAACCTTGTCAAAACATTGTACATTTGCTGTTATGTTAAACTTATATTAAAGTTTTTCTTCATTACCCATTCAAGCCGTCTCCAACCATTATTAGTCTCAAAGTGGGTTCCTCGTCATCGAACCATGTAGGTAGCTGTTTCTTTATTTACCAATGTGTCAGTGACTGTACAGTTACCATCATCAGAGCAATTAATGGCAATGGTTATTTTTAAATGCATTGTTGAAGTTATAAAGAAAATTTTTCCAACCTAAAACATGTGCATTACAAAACCAGTGTCTAATAATGCAAGTGATAAGTGAAAAACATTAGCATTTAGCACTGGCAAATTAATAAGCGTGCCAGTAAATTAAAGATACATAAGATAAAATAAGTTTTTGTTCAAATTTTTTAAAAACGTATTATATGATTTGTCTTTAGAAAACCAATTATTTGAATATGTTTTAAATTCTCACATATTTACCTTGTCAGCTTCATTGTAAAAACACAAGTGTATTACAGTATGGCCTAGAATACAACTGACGTGAAATATTGAGGAATAACTTATCAAGTCGTTTTCTGAAGATAAATTGTATAATATACTCCTAATTCTGTACATTCACTCAAACCTAAAGCAGTATTAAATATGTACAGTATGGCCTAGAAAACAACTGACGTGAAATATTGAGGAATAACTTATCAAGTCGTTTTGTGAAGATAAATTGTATAATATACTCCTAATTCTGTACATTCACTCAAACTTAAAGCAGTATTAAATATGGCTTTAAGATAGGCATTTATCTAAAGTTATCTGCATTTATAATATATAGTATAATAAAGGGAAGCTGAAAGATTTTAGATATTTCTGAAGTTAACTGTTTGCAAATCTGTAGAAAATCCGATTCAGAAACATTTTTATTTATAGCTGATCAAGTGTGCATAATCAAATACATAAATTTAACGAAATGGTTGGTCTATTGGTCCTACCCCATATTGGAAAAGGACTATAATTTCAAATTTACTCTTTGTGTATCTACATGAAATGTGGCAAGCTTTTAATGAAATGTACAAGTCTGTTGTATGCCAAAAAAAATGTTAGAAAAGTATGTGTACTCGAGATATATTTGTGAATTGACAATGTCAGTCTGACTCAGGCTCTCAAGTTAAAATGCAGGGTGGTGTTGTTCATCTGAAGAATAGAAATACTTTTGTCCATCTTACAGTTTGAATATTGTATTTAGATAACATCTAAAAACTTTGAAATGCAGTTTTTCACTATCCCTGTATATTGTATCTGATATTTACTCTCCTCTACCATAAACTGTCATTAAGTCAGCGGTGTAAGGTAAAATGAGTTGTAGATAATTCTATAATCAAATACATACCATGTTAAATGGCAATCAGTAAAAGGTCATGTCGTGCATACTTTGACCCCCACCTGCACATATAGGGTTAATAGAAATTATGATTGCTGTCACTGATTTATAAATGAAAACAATAAAAGAAATTAAGAAAAAATAATTCTGCATGAATACATTTATCTGATGCCTTTATAAAGAGTGATTACCCCAAGTATGTATATTAAGAAAAAATAATTCTGCATGAATACATTTATCTGATGCCTTTATAAAGAGTGATTACCCCAAGTATGTATATTAAGAAAAATAATTCTGCATGAATACATTTATCTTGATGTACCTTTATAAAGAGTGATTACCCCAAGTATGTATAATTAAGTAAAAATAATACTAGTACATAGAATTAACATTTAAACTACTTAGTATAG